TACTAATATCTCCTTGTTTTCTCTCTAATTTGTCTACTATGTCCCACCATCACGATGAGAGATGAGCTACCGTACATGGTACTCGCTCATATACACTCCCAAAATAGTATGCCGCAAGTAAGTATATCACAGAGGTAACTAAAGATCCAGAAACAAAAACCGATAACACTGAATATAATGAGCTGTGGTGATTTATATGACTATATAATATTATTTATTTATACTAACCTAAACACAACGTGGGGTGACCCAAATCCAAACGATCACTAACCAAAATAATAGACTTATCTTTTTTTCAGCAGGTGTAATTTCGTATAGTTCTGTTTCTCTCTTTTCAGCAAAATAACAACAAAAAAAAAAAAACCTCTATAACTCTTCTCCATACTTTTAATCTCCTACTATCCCCTATAAATGTATCGGAAACTAGTGGGACTGTCTGTGCAAACAGAAACAGGCCTGCTAGTGGAAGAAGGTCGTTATGCTATACGGCCAGGTTTCAGTAGGTACACACTCGCTTAACGGCAGATTAGTTTACAGTGGTCGACCAGGGTGTGTGCTGATAAATTACAAAATTACAATTACATCATTTTTTCATACATCAGCTTGAATTACGTTGATCAATATTACATTTTTTTTTGCTGTGCACTACACCACCGGAGCCAGCAAAGATCAACAATCCATCGTTGCTTATGCCTTTGTTGTCGTTTGGAACCAGTTTTGCGAGGTAGGCGACGAATGTGCGTATTTCTCGCGTAACTTTTGAAAAGAGCCTATTTATGGCCTGAACAATACGTAAAGACCAAATTGAAACATTGAACGTCGCGTGAAAGTGGAACTTAATGAAGGCCTAAGTACTTTTTCGTAGTTTTTAGTTTTCGGATTTGAAAGATCGTCGGTTACAGTGGCCTGCTTACTGAGCAGAATGTGCTAATGTTTAATTTGTTTTTGTATAATTTCAGGTGTTAAGGTGGTTCGCTGCCTCTGGATAGTGGGTTTGACGGTGGTTCAGCAAGAATAATATTGAGACATACGGGAATGCAACAAACGTGTCAAATTAACTGCATTGGTAACGAAAACACAGATGAGCGTACACCAGATATCACACACTAAGGTGATGGTAATAAGGTCGGTGATAATATGACATTTACACAAAAGCGGAGATCAAATCAGATTGGTCAACGTACCAAAATTCGAAACTTCGATTAAAACGTGGAATATGTGCAGCACCAGTGGAGAACACTCAAAAGCTGCAGGTCTCATCAACCGCTGCCTGCGGTATATAACTTGTGGCTGGTGGCCTCACAAATGGATCTCAGATGTAAATGTCATCAGAAGCCGATAGCAATAGAAATTAAATCTACAGGCAAGCCCTTGATTATGAATTAAATCCGCCAGAACATCGCAGCAAAGGCAAATACTAAGGCGGCGGAGCGTCAACAAGGAAATTAAGCAAGCCGATAGGATTTTGACCAGAGTTCAGGTCAAGCAGTTGCCCAGAATGGAAGTCTTTCACGTTGGCCCTGTGCACCTCTTGAGGTTCCCAGGTATTTGAGTACGACGACGATGGACGTTGCCCCTTGAAACGGAATTAAAACGAACAAACCTAATGTGGCACAACAAGCCGGCGTTTTTTTTTTTTTTTTTTTTTTTTTTTTCAGCAAGACAACAAAATTTTCTATCTCTCTTCTTTATTCTTTTAATCTCTTACTATCCCCTAATCGGACGCTAGTGGGACCAAAAAGCCTGCTAGTGAAAGGAAAGTCGTTATTCTATACGGTCTAGCATAGGCCACGACTAAATTTCCGTAGGTTCATGCCTGGCTTAAGTGCAGATCGGTAGGCACCAGCCTGCCAGGGTGTGAACTGAGCAATAACAATAACAATAACAATGTTCTCTACACACACAATATTTAATTCTACTTTGCGAAAAAGCTGTATAGTGATTAGGTAAAACTTAAATAAGCGCCTTTCAACTTCATACTCAGCTTCAAACAGCTGAATATCGGCTAAGTATAAGCGTCAACGAATATGGGACTAAGAGAATTTGATCAAAACTAGCTGCCTAAATTTGCCAGGTTTGCTAGTATAGAGTTGTGTAAAAGTTATAAAGCGTTTACATATATTGAAAATGTTAGTTGGGCATTACTACAGGAATCCGGCAAGAACGAATCTGTACAATATGAATCTTGACTGTATACAGGGTGATTCGGAATAGCTGTTCCTTTTAGAAATGGTCATAACGATTGAACGCTTGCATGATTTTTTGATATCATTATATTCCAGATATTCTACATATATAACCTTCAACTAAGCATAGTTTATTTCAGATCACTCTCCCTTTACCTTAATTACCAGCCACATTTGTCATGCAAATTAACCACAGCTGGCACGCACGCTTTAGTTCCAGCACTTTTTGAGTCCTGGTGATGCGTTTAAGCTCTGACATTGAACGGATTTTCCAAGCATGGTTCCTTTGTACCTCTATAATGATGCAAAAATAAATGTCACATTCTTTCGAAGAGATTTCAGTTTCTAAAAGATAACACACAATTTTTTTACAGATTTATGCCATGCTTCATTATGACGTCAACGGCTGCTTGAAATCACAAACGAATGAAATTTCAAAGCCTACTATCAATACAAGCTGATATTTGTACACATTAAAAACAAAAATACTTGAGCATATACCCAATTTTACCCATTGAGAATTGAATATTTGTGAAATCGGTGACAGCTATTCTGAATCACCCTGTATGTTATTCGCGCTACTTTGATTTTTTTTCTGTTTCTTCTTCTTCATAGAAATCCGGAGTGATTTTAGATTTGGGCGTAATTTTATTTGTAAACAAACAGATCGATCAATCGCCGATTTCTCGTGAATAAAAGCTCAATCTTATAAACAAACTATACCATATTGTTATTAGTTTTCGGAATTGAGCTTTTATTCGCAATTCACATTAAATCGAAAAGGATAACGTTTTATTGAAATACAAATCGAAAATTGAAGCCAAATAGGGTTTTTGATCTAATTTCCGTCCTACTAAGCACAACCCGCGCTTTACCTCTCTTTTCTGCACGAGTTTGAACGAAAAATGGAATATTTTTGTCAAAGATGATTTCTAAATTTATTTACTTTTCCATACGTACCGTTGGATTTGATAAAGAGTCACAAATAGTTGAGATATTGTTTAAAATGTAATACTGCTTCTTGATTCTAAATTCGTTCTACGAGTTTCAATTCCGTCCAAACGCACTGAAACGCCATTAGATTTCCTTCGTCCTACGGATAAACGTAGAAAAAGGGGATTCGCTAGGAGCGCTTCTTTTGTTTTGAGAACAATGAGCGTAAATATTCATATAATACGCTCTAACAGGGTCTACGTTGTAGCTAATGAACTAACGCATCGGAACAAACTTATTATTGATTTGTGCATGGTGAAATCATTGATATTATTGATCTTTTCTGACCGATAGAACGGAAATGGGCGATTACGACGAAGTAGTGCTCTATCCTACTGTTTTTATAACAAATGAACAAAATCTCAGCTCATTTGGCTCCTTGTTCTGAAAAAATTGAAAAGGATACTAAAAAAAGAAACCAGTAAACCGTTTCTTAAATAGCTCAAACTTTCACCGGACTCAATGAATCAAGCAAAAAACTATAAAGATAAACCTTGAATATTTGACCAATTTTGATGCACGCCCAGGTAAATTACACCTCTTCGTACTTTGTTATTTTTTCAGAAATAAAATTGTATTTGTCCATTACACCATGTAAAATTTAACAAACTTTAACACCATTTATTGATGAAATTAAAACCTGTTGGCGCCTTTTGAAACTACATACCTACTTTAAAGATTTATTCTTTATCGATAGATTTAAAATCTATCGATAAATTGCTGAGCAATGTTTTTTCAAACATTGTCAATTTGCCGTAACACATTTAACCGGAGGCATCGTGTTCGGAGTGTTAAAGCCTTCAAGCTAAGCGACCATTTAGCGTGTGTTTTTTAATTGATTTATTTATCAAGGGATCTAGTGTTCTTTGTTCAAATCTTTTATTATTTTGATTAGTGGATCGGTTGAATTTTTGAATGATTTCTATTTTTCAAGGGGTTTCTCATTTCATTCACCTGGTGTTCTTGATTGGGTATGTCAGATTGATCCACCACTAACCCCCTTTAGATAGGGATAGGAGCTCCAGTCGGATTCAAATGCGTCTCAGCATTCTCCCTGAACCAGGGACTGGCGCTAAAGCTGCTGAACATTCCTCTTCGTTACTTAGGACGAGGACAAAAAGGAAATCGCAGAAAAAGACGCCCTCGCGTTCTCGGTCACTATCATACAGGAATTCATTCATACCTTTTTTTATTGCTTTTCAAACATCACCCGAATGAGGCCCAAACAAAGGCATAACAAATTAATCAAATGAATAATCCATTTCCGCATCTCTCAACATAAATGCCGCACCAGCTTCAGCACTTTGTTTGCGAGTGTCGATGATTGAATGAAAATCCCCGTTCAAAAATTAATTCATTAGCAAGCAAACCACACACTCTCAGCGTTTTTTTTTTTTATCGATGGGGATCCTGAAAAACGGAAACTGCGAGTCGACATGAAAATAAATTTCGCTGGAATTTTTATTTCACAGCATTCCTGGAAGCGATCATTGCGTGCTTCTTGTTCGATGAGCTCACCGCACCGCAGAGTACACGTGTACAATATTATGTTTTTTGGTGAAAATTAATCTTTTCTATTTATTAGCAGCTAGCAGCGAATTTTCTCCGAAAATTTTTTGTTTTGTCATTTTCCGGAGAAACATTTTGCCATCACCTGTTTCGTGATAATTGCTTCAGCACCAGCCAGGTTATGCGAATTAATGTAAACTTGCTTCCATGTTTTACTCCAATTTCGGTCCTGCTAGAGTTTTCCGGTTGAAAATGATCAGTAAAAAAACTTATTTCGTTGCGTATAAATCGGAATTAATCTTTTTTTCATCTGTTGCTGCAAAATGCCCTTCGAGACCTATGTATACATTTATTTCAAACTCGTTTACGGTGAATATGGGGGTGGGACAGACATCTTGAGTTTTATGTTTATACAGGGTATCTGAGAATAATGCGAACAATTAAATGTTTCCTGATGAATGTGGGCGTCTTAGTGGAATACCTGTATAAAGAAAGAGAGAAGGATTAGTAATTTTCAGTTAATTTCTCTACTTTATTTTTCCTTGACAGATACGCGTATTCCGCCTACAATGTACAGACTTCTTCAGTGTCTTGTACTAATACTCGACTGAAGAAACCATCGCAACTTACAGAATATTTATTAACCTAGGTACATTTTCACATTAGAAGTAAATCTAATCTCCTGCTGAGTAAAATTGAATTCCGTTTGTTGATCTCGAGGCTCTCTGCAATATCCAATTCCAGTGATATACGGTTCGTTAAATCGTGATGTCGTCAATTGGTGGTCCTCGGTGAACATGTGTTTTGCAACCTTTGTTTTAAAGTCATATGTTAGGCCTTCTTCCTATTGCTTTTAGGCCTTATTAACCTGCGCTATATGTTCTTTAAAGCTAGTTGCTAAAGTTCTCTTAGTTTGTCCTACATATACTTTGTAACAATGATTATAGCTTGTGCCACCTGCCATGATTGTTACACCTGCTTTACTTAAAACATTAACTGGGTCTTTGATATATCCTAACAATGATTTTAACTGGTTATGTACATATACTAGTGAAAACTAAACCTAATCCATTTTTTTTAACTGTGGTCTTAGCTTACTAGTAATCACCCCTATTCTCGTTTTCGAACGAAACGAAACGATCATACAAATAAAAAAAAATTGTATGAACGTTTCGATTCGTTCGAAAACGAGTATAGGGGTGAATATCTTGATCAAATGGAACGGACTTTCGTTTCAAGGGTTCAGATGCTATGGGGTTGTAAATAACCCAACAAACATTGGAAGCAGAATAAGAGTTTATTCAGGAAAAATATGCTTCATCAGCTAAAAAAATGCTTATTCAGGCTTTAATCAGCATACATTGTTTGTTAGGAATCTCCTTTGTAGAATTTTCGCTTTTTCATCAATAATTGTGCAGTGTATAGGCGTGCCAACCGCTAAGTTGGCTGATCTAGGGTCTAAATCCCTAGTCTATACACCCACTATCCTTCCCGTTGCGATACTCTAGGCACACATGGGTGGTCGTATCCGGGTCCTTCCCTGGGTAGGCTCGTATCCGTCCAGGTTCTGGTACATTAACTTATCTCTATGCATGGTAATAATACCGTCGATAATGCTGAAACTATATGAAGGTTAGTGATCAATATTAGGTGGTATTATAGATAATTCTAAAATAGGTAAATCATGCAAGCACACACCTTTTACAATTCTTATCCTACCTACTAGTTCCGTCCAGTATAAATTGGCTGTCTCCAACCGGCGTGATCCTTTCTGACTGCTTACTCTTTCCGATGCATGTCTTATTTAATTCTTCTTTTCTTGCTCATGCTTTCTCGCTATTTTTCCTCCTATTGAACATCCGGCCGTGTTCCCACTTGTTCTCAGACAGGTAATATTGGAAAGAAATAGAACAAGTTAAGTGTGAGCCGCATGCATTGGTTAGTCGTTTGGGTCATGGTGTTGTGTTCCCTATTTTATTTGCCTCTATTCAGCTCTCAGATCGCCCCCTCCCGCCAAACTATGGATGAAAAAGAGAACCCATCTTTGGTAACCTCTCGCGAGCTGCAATGCAAAAAATATTAATAACAAACTAATCTAGAACTAGGCTTAAACATAATTATAACATTTAATAATGATTAATATAATATGAATAATGAGAATTGTATGAAGAAAAGACGATCCCAAAAGAAAGTTCCCTAGCAATAAAACTATTGCTCTGTGCTAATCTGAGTTATTTCAAAATGGGAATCCACAAACAACATACTCAGAAACTATACCCGATCTCAACAAACTCTACCGAAATCAGAACAGCTGAACTGGTCAGATTTTGGCATTTCTATTTGGCTACTTTACAATTAGAATTAGCTCCGCGTTGTGTAGTGATGCTCTCGCTGACCCAGCCATGGGTAAGAAATCGCGCGGTAACGCGAGTGCCGGTTTACCGGGAAAACAGCCTCTCCCAGAAGACGGCGCGACCACCGAGCCAGCCCAGAAGAAGCAGAAGAAAACCGGGCGTTGGGACCCGCAGCCGGAGCCTCCCTGAACTAAACAACCCAGACATGAAGACATCAGCGCCACCGCATCGGCAGCAAAAAAGCTGCTGAGCAACAATCCGTTCTCCGCCCTGCAGAACGGAGCCCAGCCGCAGTCAGACCCTGAAACGGTGCCGAAAAAAGTGAAGTTGCCACCCTTCTATGTGAAGGGCTTCCCTCCCGGGCTATGGGAGAAGCTGGATTACTACATTAAGGAGGGCCTTCGTTGCACCATTCAACGGTGCACGGAAGGCTACAAACTGATGCATGAAGCTGGAATACTTCTCCCACGACGTCGAGGCCACCAAGCCGCTGAAAGTGGTGCTGCGCGGGCTCCCCGACATGGACTCCACCACCTTAATGAAAGAGATTAAGGTGAACGGCCTCAAGCCGGTCGAAATCCACAAGATGACCCGCAGCAAGGCCATCAAGTATCGTGACCAGCTCTACCTGGTCCATCTGGAGAAGAACTCCACAACCGTGAAGGATCTCCAGACGACACGCACAATGTTCCACATCCTAGTGAAGTGGGAGCGGTATAAGCCGACCCACCGTGGCGTCACTCAGTGCTCGAACTGCCTATTGTTCGGGCACGGCACCAGGAACTGCCGCATGGCCAGCCGCTGCATCAAATGCGGCAAAAACCACAAGATCGACGACTGCGACAGCATCGAGGAAGCCGCTCCCACATGCGCCAACTGCGGTGCCGCCCACAAGGCCACGAGTAAGGCCTGTCCGAAGCGGGCCGAATACGCCGAGATCCGGAAGAAGGCCTCGTCCAACAACCAGCCCGGTCGCAAGAAGGTTCCGGAAAACAACGCGCAGAACTTTCCTCCGTTATCACCGGTCCAACCACGGCCAATTCCAGTGTTGCCGCCGCTCCCGCTCAACCAACAGTTGGCTGCTGCCCAGTCGGCTGCCGCTGCAGTACCCGGTCAAGCCTCCGGGCCATCGACGGATCCCCCTGCTCCGGGATTGGCCGGTACAACCGGCGAAGCTTCAGACGATTCTCCGCTGTCAACGGATGAGATCGTCACACTGTTGGCCCAGGCCATCATCATCAAGCGCACCTGCGCTACAAGAACACAACAGCTCCAAGCTATCATCTCCTTCGTCGCTAATTATGGACCGTGAAGCCAACTGGAACGCTCGCTCCGTAGGGGCGAAAAACATTGAGCTTGCAGACTTCCTCCGCAAGCACGACATCGACGTGGGCCTTCTCACCGAGACCCACGACCCACCTCAAGACCAGTGACAGCTTCTGGCTGCCCGACCACAGCATTGTCCGGCTTGATCGCACCAGCTCCAGGGGGGGCGGTGTCGCGGTCATTATCAAGAAAGGCATCAAGTACTGCACCCTACCCCACTACCGCACTTCCATCATCGAGGCCGTCGGCGTTGAGGTGGAAACATCGACCGGAAACGTCCGGTTCATCGTTGTCTACTGCCCCCGGCAATGTACCGTTAGCAATGGTACAGCACAGCAGTTCAAGAACGACCTTGCCATCATAACCCGCACCAATGCCCGCTTCGTAATCGGAGGGGACCTGAACGCCCGGCACGAGGCCTGGCGGAACTACCAGCAGAACTAGAACGGCCGCCTACTATTCGACCATTCCCAGCATGGTCTCTATTCCGTCTGGTTTCCGGACGAACCAATCTTCACATCACCGGCGGGCAACCCATCGACACTGGACCTGTTCTTGGCAAACACCGGATTAGCCAAGCCGGTTGCCGTCAACGACCTGAGTTCGGATCACCAACCGGTGCTGACCGAGCTGGGCTGCAATGTGGCCCCTGCACCGTGCCTGCGGAAGAACTACCATCGAGTCAACTGGGTCCAGTTTCGGCGCGTGGTCGACCGCCACATCGATGACAACCCACCGCTTGACACAGTGGAGGACATCGACCATATCCGTGGCTGTCGAAGAGTGCGTTTGAAGAGTTCCTGTGAAGGGTTAAGTGTCAAGCAATTGATTCCCACACCAAACTCTTGATTCGGCTCAGAAATGTTCGTAGACGCCAGTTTCAGCGGACTGGGGATCTGCAGTGTAAATACGAAATGGTCGTTCTGAATCGGCAGATAGCTTCCAGAATGGTCTCAATCCGGAACGAGAGTTTCGGGCGGCTCGTTCAGTACCTGGACGACCGTTCCAGACCATTCTGGAAGGTTGCCAAGGTGCTGAAGTCTCACCCCAAGCCCATTCCACCACTTAGAGTCAATGACGAACGGCTTATCACCAACGAAGAGAAGGCCAATGCGATTGGGGAGCACATTGCCCAGTCGCATTTGCTTGGCTCCAAAATCCCAAGTCTACTCGAGAACCAGGTTGCGCAGTGCGTCCAGACGTTAGATTCCTCCCCTTGTGCCGTCCCTCCGAAGAACGGATTACAGAGGAACAAATTTGCTCAGCGCTGAAATACAGTAAGAACATGAAGGCTCCCGGGTTTGACGGAATATTCAACCTAGAGTAGAAAAATGTCAGCCCGAGGGTGCACTCGCTGCTGGCTGCCATCCTCAACAGATGCTTGGAGCTGCACAAAAATCATCCCGATCCGCAAACCTGGGAAAGACCCTCCACTACCGTCAAGCTACAGACCGATTAACCTGCTCTCAGCGCTGAGCAAGCTGTTCGAAAAATTGATCCTCAGCCGACTGAGCAAGTTTGTGGAGGAACATGACATTCTTCTTCCGGAACAGTTCGCGTTCCGCAAGGGGCATTCCACCAATCATTAGCTAGTGCGGGTGATGAATAGCATCCGAAGTAACAAAGCTGTATCCAAGTCCACAGCCATGGCCTTGTTAGACGTCGAAAAGGCGTTTGACAATATCTGGCACGACGGACTTATATACAAGCTTTGTAACTCCAACTTTCCACCATACCTTGTGAAAATCACCCGTAACTACCTCCAGCAAAGGTCGTTCAGGGTGTCGTTGAATAGTTCCCTTTCGGGACAATTTCCGATCCCAGCAGGTGTTCCGCAAGGGAGTCTACTGGGACCACTGCTTTACAGCATCTACACGTTGGACATCCCTCCTCTAGGAGACGGTTGCGTGTTCTTCCTGTTCGCAGATGACACCGCGATAGCCGTCAAGGGTAGGATGCCTCGTGAAATTACGAACAAGCTCCAACGATGCCTTGACACCTTTACTGATTATGCCACCACGTGGAAAATCAAAATCAACGCCTCGAAAACCCAAGCGATCATGTTCCTTCACTGACAATCGCCAAAACTTAAACCGTCTCCCTCCTGTACCGTAATAATGGATGGTACAAGGGTCGAGTGGTCCACTGATGTTACTTATCTCGGGATGTTGTTCGATGAGAAGCTCCTGTTCCGCTCGCACACAGAGAAAACCCTAGTTAAGTGCTCCGCCTTGGCTAGGTGTTTGTATCCGCTCATTTGCCGCAGATCCCGCCTCTCAAGGCAAAACAAACTGGCTGTCTACAAACAGATCATAACCCCCGCGATCTTCTATGCCGCCCCGGTGTGGGAATCGTGCGCTCAGACCCACAGGAACAAAATCCAGGTTGCACAGAATAGAGTGTTGAGGATGATCCTAGATCGTCCATTCGACACAAGAATAGCAGACCTCCATCAAGAGGCAGAAATTCCCAAAGCAGATTCCAAAATTGAGGATATGACAACCAAATTTATCCAAAAATGCAATCTTTCTGAACATGCTTTAATAAGCAATTTGTACATAGTAGGTTAAGTGTATATAGTAGAGTAGGTTAGTTTTAAGCTGTAAATAGTAGTATTAAGTAGTTTCTCTTCAAATTCTAAAAACAAATCAAACCAATCCCACCAAGGTGGTCGACCGTGTACTAAGTCTAGGACTAATTCTGTAAAACAAATTTTGAATTTTGCCCATACCTAAAGATGAAGAAAGCAATTAAATCACTTAGAAAAATGTATATGGTAATCATCCAAGTTGAACTGAAATAAAGATCATTTAAACTAAAAAAGGCTACTTTACATCGAGCTCTTTTCTAGAATTGCAACATGTGAATAATGCAGAACAAGTTTAAAATTGTTCTAGAGCCCAATTGGTTTTGAAAAGAAGGTAAAACTACCACTGAACAGCTCAGCCGCTCTGAACCCTTCAAGTGTGAACACTATGCTTTTCCTAAGCGGTCCCACCGCGTCCTGCCTCTGTTACCCCAAAAACCTAAAACTGATTCAGCATAATATAGAGAGTATAAAATAAAACATCCACCTGTTCTGTTGCTTCTTCTTCGATCTAGTCACTGGGGAAATAGCACTGGTTTGAGGGGAACACAACTGATCAGAAGCACAATATATTTGAAACAGATTTTATCGTTATTGATCGCCAGTATCATGCCTATCGGTTGCTATTTAGATTATTACTTCGATCTGCTGGATGCTGCGAGAGTGAGAATGAGTTCCCTCTCGCAATCATCAGTGAAGCTGATGATTGTTGTAGAGTGGGTTTGATATCATTAAAAATGATTTAAATTAAAGAAATAATTTACAACTGTATTGTCCATTCAGACATCATTAGACCCTAACCCACTTGGCCAGACTTCAGCATCAACCGGTGGGCAGTGCAGTTTACACTCCAAGTTCCCTTTGTTTCAAATTCATCTTAAATGTCATACTTCACCAATCGAGTGTTGATTAATCACAATACAAATTGTGACCGAGGGCGAACTTGAGGTTATTAGACAATTAAATAATCTAGGTCCCATTTAGGATTATGTATAATAAAAATCCAATGTTGGCCAATGTCCACTGAAAATAAATAAAACTACAGTGAGTGAACGTGCATAAAGTGCAATGAATGAGCGTTAGCTTCGGGATCATTTTAGTGTTAGAGTTATGTTAGTTTTGATCCGTAATCAGCCCTGCCGGGCCCCTACAACATGAGTTGCAGGCAGTGGTTGTTAGATCATGCGACACTGTAACTACTACTATGTTAGATGTATGATTCGTCAAATGTATACAACTCAATGTTTCAATTAAGGTAAACTATTTATCTTATAATTACAAAAGCAAACTTAAAATTACAATTATATGCAAATGCAAAATAAAAGACAAATCATCGACAATCCCCTTATTCTTGGGCAGGGCCTGACGATGTGAATCTGATTTTGATCAGTGAACGGGCACCATATGGTACATTCTCTCACTATGAACCTGTCATTTCTAGCCTATCTGAACTATTTAATAAATGGAAACCATAACATGGGTTACGCTCCTCCTAAGAGGGCCCTCCGCATCCTATCTCTGTCTTTTCTCAAATACCAAATGCCAATGGTTTGAATGTATCAATATATAGATTGGAATTGACGCTATATTGTACATTGCCCCTCTCCCTTTTATCTAAGGGGCTACCCCCTATGACCATCTCCTTATACCTCCACATGCCAAATGTGGTTCCATTTGCTTGATTAGTTCTCGAGTTATTCAGAAATTTCTGTTTCATTTGTATGACCCCTTACAGAGGGGGGAGGGATCTCGAACCATCATAAGAACCTTTCCCGGCCCCATAAACCCCTGCTTACAAATTTTCACGCCGATCGATTAGACAGACAGACAGACAGAAATTTATTTTTTATGTATAGCATGTACCTACTCCCAAATATTCATTCATGGAACAATTTCGGCATAAATAACTACCTCCCGCAGAGGTACACAAAATAAATACATTTATTTTTTAAACAACTTACCATCACCCATGATGACATCCCTCCGAACCAAATTTGCAATTTTATCTTGTACCATCATGTCGCCAGCCTGCCCGAGAAGATGCTCCACACCCACCACATTGCTACCCGGTATCCGTTTTTCAGTCTTTCTACAATTCGCTTCATCCACACCTTTCGGACTTACCTCGTCTTTGTTCTGCTGCTCCTGCTGCTGTTTTGCAGCGTTTCTCTTGTTTCGTATCGCAAGAAGATCCCTCTTGGCACCAGCGTCTCCGTCCTCTTTCGTTCCATCAAATTTGATTTTCATTGACTCTTCGGCAGCAGCTTTCTCCTCCTCCTCCTTCTTCACCGGGACCGATTTTATTTCTTGCTCTACAGGCAGTGGCGGAAGCGGTTCACCTTTCTCTTCCTGTTTCACCAGTGGAACTTCAACCGGTGGAACGGTTTCGGCAACTTCCGGTTGCTGTTTTGGAGCGGTTTCATTGTTCACACTTTCGCCTGCCGGCTTTACTTCGGCTTGCGGTTCGTCATCTACCTTCGGAATCACCTCTGCGACTCCTGCCGCCATTGTTTCAGACTTGGTCTCATTTGCTTTGGCATTCAGCTTGCCCTGTTCTGTCAGTAAGCGAACAATTGGATCTTTCTGATGATCCGCCGTCTCCTCCATCTTCTTTGGTTCACCAGCGGCATCAGGTTTGACCTCGTCCTTCTCTCTGGAAGCCTTTTGATCAATCTTCTCGACAATCTCATCAAACTTCTTCAACACCAATTGCTGGGTTTCCTCGTTCTTTTTCACCAGCTGTTCCTTGATGTTTTGCACTTGAGCTTCCAGTTCTTTCTTGGCGCTCTGCAGCTCGATGATCTCCTTTTGAATTTGCTCTTTCTCTTCGACGGCGATTTCCTTATCCTCCTTGAGGATGGCATCCTGGTCGATTACTTCTTCTTTTTTGTCTTTGTCTTTTACTTGAACCAGTGGAGGTTCCGGAGAAATTGCAATCTGAAATTGAGATGAGATTAAAAGCCATGCGCCTCCATGAAATAGAATACTCATTCATACGACCGACAGACATACCTTCTCATCCTTATCCTTGCTGGCAGCACTTTCTTCGTCCTTCAAACTGTTGATCGTCACAGGTTCCTCAATCTTCGGCGTTATTTTCTCCGTCACAATGGGAACCATCTCTTTTTCTTCTACTAGGACCGGCAACTTGGGTTTTAACTCCTCAATCTTTTTGTCCAAACTCTCCTCCGGTTTTTCCACAACCATTACCGGTAGAGGAGTAACCTTTTCCTTCACAATAGCCTCGTATTTCTTCTCCGGAACCTGATTCATCGCCTCCAGATTGGCATAGGTACCAAGGATCATGATCAGAAGGCCGAAACCGATCATCACCTGAGCTAGCTGCTTTTCGGAGATGTTTGTCTTACAAATGTGCATGTAGCATGCAGCCGGAATGATGATACAAGCAGCAACGCCGATTGTGGATCCAACCAGCCCGATAACAACTTCGATTGAGGGTACCAACCAGCCTAGAACCAGTGCCGCGCATACAATGGCGATCGTTAACGGCCGAAATTTGGACTCCGGAATGTAGTAGTGTGCATCGGAGTGAGCTTTCTTGTACAGTAGAGAATACAAACTGACCCGACAGGGAAAAATTGCCAACGGAAAGCTGAATGCCACCGAAAGCACGAATCCTATCTTGATTATGTCCGACACATACGAAGGCGAGAAATTAACCAGGATGTTACCGGAGAAGTGATGTCCATTGAAGGCGACGTAGCCAAAAAATCCGATCAGACCATAAATGCAAGCACAGAGACCGGTGGATTTCTGAATCACACGAATCATCTTGTCCAGTGATGTCGTCGGCATGGTGGCATAGACTTCAAATAGTTGCCTGAAAATGTATAAATCAAACGGATTATCCAACATCCAACACTTCCTCCCAAAACCACTCCACACTCACATCTGACAGGACAAGGCCATACTGAAAATCGGCAAGCACTGCAAGATACCCTTTGAATTCCACATGTCCAACCCGTCAATCCATCCGGTTTTGCTGACCTGCTCGCTAGACTCGGCCATCACCTTCAATATCAAGCACACATAGAATCCAAGCGAAGCCGTACAAACCGTCGACAGGCTGTCTACATTCCGCAGCAATCCAAGTGGAATTATGCACACCACCGTAACCGTAATCATCACCCACGTTCTCAGGGTACTACTCTCGTTGATGGCAAACATTTTTGCCGCAATCTGGGGACCCAAATCTCCAACGACCACGAAATACGCCACGCACGTACCCAGCAAATATCCAACCACGCATAGCTCCACCAACAGCTTCCCGCAGGAACCGAACGCGTAGAATGCAATCTGCTCAAAGTTCTTCCTCCGGGAAATGATTGCCGATTTGATCATATAACTACAAACTAGCTTTGTGATGTAGGTACTCAATAAAAGCAGCACTATCGACAGCACAACTCCGCACTGGAATACGTAAACAAGTCATTAACACCTTCATTCAAATCGCCTTCATCATTTCATTAGCTGGAAAACTTACCTTCTGAAAGCAGAAGGGCATCGAGAGGATTCCAACGCCGATGATACTGTTCATCAATGTCACGGTTTGGACGGAATTGCGCTCCATGTCGAAAACTTCACGACTGAACTAACTAAACAATAAACTTATATTGAATACTGTAGATATAAATACTAAATCACATTTGTGGTGATGTGGGGTTTCCGGTGGCGAAAAATCACCACCGTTTTATTCGATTTTTTTTCTTTTCTTGCCGGTGCGGAACAACGGAACTTTCCTCCAAGGGAACGCAGCAACACGTATTCGATTCGCGGCCTCGTCTTCGTGGAATGTTTGTTTTGCTTTTGTGCTTCTTCTTTTGCAGCTGATTCGCAGGACAGGCAGACACCAAAAGCGCGAACCTCGCTGTGTGCCACCTATGTGTCAAAATTGTAACAACAGTAAAAATATGATAGCCGCGTTACCTCGCACGTTACCACAAAGCCGTATCATAAGCTAGGGGTGTCCTATATAATTAATCGAACTCGATTAGCGTAAAGAAAATAATTGATAAATAGACGAGTGCACGGATGGATTTGAGTTCACTCACTCGACAAAAAGTGACTCAAATCCGGGGCCTTGTTTACCAAAACTGAACACATGAATAATCTCGCGTAACATTTGAAACGGGCCTATCAACTTTGGTACACAAAATTTGTTAAGCCCTTTCGCGTGTTTATTATCATCACAATCCTTCAGCAACTATCCAAATTGTGCATACACTAATAAAATTCCACACATTTTAATTGACGAATTTCCATTTGAAATTCCACATGATTTTGGTAATACCACAGACAAACAGACATGCACACAGAGTTTAGATTACCGAAGTCGGTAAAATTTTACTGGGGTTTTAAACAGCTGAGTTTTCAGCAATCAACTCAGTAGTTTTTCATTTAACTGAAAACTCGGTAAATGGAAAAATCCCTGAAATGTCAAAATTTACCGTTTCAGTCAGTAAAAAAATTGCTGACTTTTTCAGTAATTTATTTGTGTACATTATTTTTGCTGAGTTTTCCAGTATTTTGATGAATAAATATCAATGAGTAATAAATAAAATATGTCGGATATTTTAAGATTTTTATTAGGGGGCTCAGACTCGGACTCAGGTTTATTTGCTTAGAGGCATAATAGCAATGATGCTGTTTAAACTAATCTTGAGCTATAGTCCAGCTTAATACTTCTTCGTGGTTCAGCCGGCTGGTTGCTTTCTTGGAGTGCCAGATTGCGTGCGTAAGTCTGGAGCACTGCTACACACAATTGAAATTTTTGCTGCAAATTTAATGGAACATCTGGAAGTCGATGCAGGAGTGCAGAAACTGCCCGATTTCGTATGATTTTGCACTCCTGCGTTGATTTCAAGTCGTTTAACTAATTTTCACAAACATGTTGCTGTTTTCACACACAAATTTCTGAAGTTAAGTGCGCGAGGTGGAACGGAGAAGAATAACGTAAAGGAGTCCAATTTACTAGTGTGATCAGTAATTTTGGAATTTCGTTTGCTGACTGTTTTAGTAAAACCACAGACAAACAGACATAACACATTGAATATTTCTCACTGTAAAACATCGTCGCTAAAACATTACCGCCATCTGTTGAGCATACTGTGGTAGGTAGTACGCTGAACAGATGGCGGTAGTGTGTAAACGTCAAACGCAAGGGAATTGACTATGCGCGCCACATGTGGCGGTACTACCAACTACGATACTTTTAAATTGACCGTTAAACGCTTGTTCGATGAACAACTTGCGAGTGTTATGTCTGTTTGTCTGTGGTAAAACATAATCAGTACTGAAAACTCGGTGTTCTATTTTACTGAGTTTTAGTCATTTCACGTAAAACTATTATTTTACGGTCAATTCAGTGATTACTATTACCGCATTCAGTAGTTTCTTGCAAAAACTAATGAACGTCAGTAATTTTATTGAGAACAGCTGAATGTTCGGTAGTTTTTGTGATTTACAGTTCGAAAACTGTAAAAAAAAAATTACCGAACAAGGAAACCGTGATTAAGTGTGTGACACATAGAATATTTCGCACTGTAAAACATCGTCGCTAAAACATTAATGCCATCTTTTGAGTATACTGTGCTGGGCACTACGCTGAACAGATGGCGATAGCATAGAGGTAACTCTAAGACCACTGGGTCCCGAAGAAAATCATTATTATTTTTGGCTCACTCAGTACCAGAACAACGGTCCCAAGCAGTCCCAAGCTATTTCACTCACCCCTGCATGTTCTGCATGAATCCACACACCCCTGATGTTATCTGTCAAACTTTCATAGCGAATCAAAACAAACATAGTGTAGTAATAGAATTTCAACTAGAATAGGGTACGTTAATCGTTTGTTTGGGACCAATAGGCTACTAAAGTGGTGAGCCAATTTAAAATCGTTAGTTTCGTATTGATTGTTGGTACTACCATAGAGGTAACTCTAAGACCAGAAGGTCCCGAATTAACGTGCTCAACTTTTTGGCTTAGCTCTAGTACTATCTTCGGTCCCAAGCTAATCGATTCACCCCTCAAACTTTCATAGAGAATCAAAACAAACATTGTGTAGTACTAGAATTTTGACTAGAATGGGGTTCGTTAATCGATTTGCTTGGGACCAGTAGGCTACCCTAATAAAAATTGTATGGTTAATTTGCTTAACGACGTGTTCTGGGTATCATCCAAACCATTTGTGGAATAGTTCAATGACTTGGGTTATCGTTCGTTTATGGTTATTTTTTATTAGGGTAGTCAAGTAGTGAGCCAATTTAAAATCGTTAGTTTCGTATTGATTGTTGGTACTACCAACTACGATACTTTTAAAATGACCGTTAAATGCGTGTTCGATGAACAACTTGCGAGTGTTATGTATGCTTGTCTGTGGTAATACCATAGAGAAACGTGCTCAACTTTTTGGTTCAGCTCTGGTACTCTCTTCGGTCCCAAGCTAATCGATACACACACCCCTCGAAACATAGGAAAATCAACGAACCCCTAATTTTATCTATCAAACTTTCATAGCGAATCAAAACAAACATAGTGTAGTACTAGAATATTGACTAGAATGGGGTATGTTAATCAATTTTCTTGGGACCAATAGTCTAGTCAAGTAGTGAGCCAATTTAAAATCATTTGTTTCCACCGGTAAAAAAATTTCAAAGATTGTTTTTATGTGTCCCACACATGATTTTTTGCAATTTGATCAACAAATGATATCTGACGGACACATACTTGATATGTGTACACATAAAAGCCATGTGTGATCACACATACTATTCATTTGACACTTAAATTTCATGTGTACTTTTGAGTGGATTCTGTTTATATGTGGTCACATGATTATGCCTGCCCGCGCTCAGAATTTCGGAGAAAATTATTGTGAGAGACTTGTATCTTTTTGAATACCTAAAAAAAATTGAGCCTTTAAAATTACGAATCGATAAACAGTCGATGGTTCTTTCTGGTAATTCCGGAAATACTTTTTAAAAATTATTTAACTTCCTGAATTTTCTTCCACCTTACATCGTAAATTATTTTACGATTCCTCGCGGAAACTTATTTCGACTTCCCTTGGAAGCTTCTTCAGCCTTCGTTCGAATGATTCTTCCATCTTTTCCCGCCAGTTTTTTCAACTTTCCCTGAACTTCAGGGATGCTTCCAGATTGTGATTGCGGATCCACCCTAGCTGCAGTTAAGAAGTTCTGAAACTTCAGAAAAGTTCAGACTTTTGAGTCCAAAGAACTTCTGGAAAATTTAATGGTTTTCAGGACAGTTCCATTAGTTTCAGGAGGATTGAGAGAATTTTAGGAAGCTCCGAGGACAGATCAATAAATTTCAAGGAAATCGCTGAAATTTTAAAGGAGTTCTGAGAAACTCAGGCAATTTACGAAAACTTCAGCAATGTTCCGAGGGACTCATACAAATTTAAGAAACGTAATGGAAGTTACATGAACATTAGCACATTGTGGGAACATTTTATGGGAAGTTCCGTGCTTATTAATGGCAGTGTCTTTTAAAAATTAGAAAAATCGGGAAGATCAGAGAACTTTATTGCTGATGTTACATAAATTCAAGAAAATTGTGAGAGCTTAAAAAATTATAATCTGGGAAGTTCCAAGTATTTCAAAGATGATCAGAGTACTTCAGAACAGCCCTATTAACTTAAGAAAAATTACAAGAACTTTTAAGGAATTGCGAGAAAATATGGAATATTCCTAAGTACATTTCAGGAATGTTCCAAAAACTTCAGGGCATTGCGGGGTCTTCAGGGATGTTTTATGACCATTTGGAAAATTTTCTGGATCATTAGAACATCCCCAAGAGCTCTATCTTCCGGAATTATGTCCTTGTTTCTTTCGACTGTCCGATTAGCGCTTTGGCTTCCGATTTCCTCAAAAAAAAAATTCCAATCTACAGGGTGCGTGACGAATTTTTGCAGTAAATGGCATATCTGAGAAAAAATACACCAGTTAGTTATTCTAGCAATGAATTTTGTGCGATTTATTTTCTTTCGCAACATATGGAAGTTGTAAGTAAATTTATTCAAAAAAATTGCCTTCCCTTTCGACGGCTGTAGTTAGACGCTTCCGGAAACTGCAGTATGCACGTTTTAAAATGTTTCGATCCATAGATGTCATCACTGCCTTGATTTTAGCTTTTAGCGACTTAAGTGTGGTGTGAGGGGTTCTATTGGTATCCCGTTGGACGACGCCCTATACAAAATAATCCAACGGATTGATATCGGGACTGCTTGGGGGCCAAATTTCTTCCTCCCAAATTTTCGAAATATTTTCCGTAAGCCATTTCTGTGCTTTATTAGCAGTATGAGCAGGTGCTCCATCTTATCACTTTCCCAAGCCTTTTTTAATATTATACAGTGTTCTTTCAGACACATTTACCGACCGAATTATTTCTTTCATGCATACTCCGGCACGCAACAAAGCGACAACGGCTGACAGATTGCTCTCTTGTTTCGACATCTTTACGTTTACTCAACATTGTTTGTTTAAATCTTACACCTAACAGTATAAGCTATCCAGTGCTGCCAAATATATCTAAATCATGATGCACAAGCATGAGAAATTACTATTTGAAATTTACTGCAAAAATTCGTCACGCACCCTGTACCTTAGCAAGTTTCTGTCAGCGTGTCCAGGAAGTTTCTTCCGTTTTCTTCAGGTTTAATTAAACTTCTTCCAGAAATTTCTTTCGTCTAGTTCTGGAATTTTGTGCAGTTGTTTTTTTTTTACTTCCAGAGTTCTTCCTAAGTTGCTTTAAATTTTCGCCAGAAGATTCTCAATTTATGTCTTGGAAGTTCCGCGAATGTTTTTCCGACTTCTCTCAGAACTTTCCTCAAATTTCCTCCAGCAGAGCTTCTTTCTTCATTCTCTGCATGTGATTTGACAGCACGTCCCCCCCACGGCTTACATATACCAGGCTAGCTCAATAGAGTGTAAACATTCATGGAGCTGACGTCATCAGAATCGTCAACGAAAACAGTTCGGAAGGTTTCAATTTGTTTTGCAGTTTCGTTTCAGCTTGTGACACTTAAATTAAGTTTTAAAATTGAAAATGGTGAGGTGCATTGTGCCCGGATGCACAAGTTATGAGGATGATAAGATCGGTCCAAGGAAAAAGTTCTTTCGTTTCCCGAAAAACAAAGATTTATGTGCTTTGTGGGCGAAAATGTGTGGAGGTGGAAGTGGCATGAACATAAAAGCGGCCAAAATATGCTCTGACCACTTTTTAGATGAGGACTATAGACTAAAGGACATTCTTCTTAAAACTGAATTTCACAAACGTATGCTGAAGGTTGGTGCATTTCCAAGCCAATTTTTACCCGTGCAAAAGTTTTGTGGTATTGAGAAACATGAAATCACCGAAACCGAACGAAAGGAACTCATTCACGAAGCTATTTCTGAATACGATCGGTAGGATAATTTTTTTTTGCACTATTTTTCTATTATTAACATAAAATCTTTTTAGTAGCAATGCACCGAACCTTCATACAAAGGATGCTGTTGTTCAAACCGAGATTCAAACTGAGTAAGATGCTAAATATGGATTGAAATTTATAGTACGTGTCATTAATATCACTCTTTTAGGACGAATTTGGAGCTATCTTATCGAAAAAAAAATTGCTGCTCTGAGAAGGGATCTTCGATTAGAACGACAAAAGAACCAAAGATACGCGGAGCAGTTCAAGAGAAGCAGAGAGCTGTGTCAAGGAGTAAATCACTGCTTCTCTAAGGGTCAGTTGCGGAAGCTACGGAACCCACTAAAAAGGGTGAGATGGAGCGCTGAAGACATATCGACGGCCATATCCCTGTATTCTTCAGGATCGAAAGCATATCATCTCCTACGTTCAAACCGATTCCCCTTACCAGCTATGTCTACACTTCGTTGAAGAAAACTGTTTGTTTATTTCAGCGATTCTGATGACGTCACAAAAAAAATGACAGTCGCGGAGTAGCTAGCCTGGTATATGTAAGCCGTGGTCCCCCCCAGCATTATGTATCTTCCCCAAGATCTTTCTACACGCTATTTCAAAACTACCCAAATTTGGGTACAATCCACCCAGATAGGTCAAAACTTAACATTTTTGGGTAGATTCAGTTTTGATCGATCTGGGTGGGTTGTATCCAAATTTGGGTAGTTTTGAAATAGCGTTAAACAAAATCGACTATTTGGGAAAAACCGGACATCCCTACTAACAACACTGCGGTACCGAGCGAGCGCGCGCATTTTAGTCTTGTTTTTTAGCGTTTTTAGTGGAAGTGGAGGAACATGACGCATTTGAAAGTGTGAAAAAACCCGAAACATTTTTAAATTTGACCGAAACCTTGCTATTAATTCAAAAGAAACATTTAACTTTTCACAATGCCGTTCATCGAAGGTGTAAGTTACATTGGATCAAAATAATAGGCATTTTCCGGGACTTATAAAGAACATCCGTTTCAGTTGACCATCAGCGGATTTCCGGAGCAAGATGACCTGACGCTCCGCTTCCAAGCTGGGCTCAACATCTTAGACAGCCGGCACCCTGAATCTAATGTCATCGTCGATTCGCTCAGCTGGTTTCTCAACTGCCCGGAGACACTCGATATTCCACCGGAAACTAATTTCACAGCGCAGTCCTACTTGGAGGTTCGCATCCGGTCAGACCAACCCGAGCATTCATTCTGGGAATTGCGTGGTAAGAAAAAGTGTCCAAACGAAAATGTGATACACCTCCGCCGAGTTCTGAGCAAGCCGCACACGGTGCTGGTAGATGGAAAAAACTCGCAGGTGCCGTTCGATGAGTTTCGCTTCGAGATGGCACAATTGGGATTCTGTTTCGGGATGAATGGTTTTCCAACGCTAAATGTTGTGCGACGAATATATCTGGACCAACTAATCAAACCTGCTAGCATGCTTTGGAACATTGTACACGCAGGATTACGTGTGGAAGCATTTGGTCGAATGCAGGATGAGGAACAGGACATGAAAGATTTCTACCGAAAACAGCTGAACAGCGCGCTGACGTTCGATTATCAGAGCAAGATCGACGAGTTTAAGGAAAGGATCGAATCAAGCAAAATGTTCTGCAGATTACAAAAGACGTTGAATATGTACGCGGCTAGTGTTGTTCAGAGGGAAGTGAATGCCTATGCCAGGGTGTCGAAGCTTTATGAGTCGCAGCTAGAGAAATCGGTGGCTGCAATGGAAACGTTAGAAGAGCAACGGCAGGTACTCGAGGAACGACTGGATGAACATGAAAACGCAGTTCCGGAGATGCGTGAACTGGTATTGGAGGATTTAAAAGGCCATTATTCGGAGGTAGATTATCGTTTAGCAAAGCTGGAGCCGGAAGAACATGTATTGGATTTGATTGAAAATGTGCAAGTTCGCATTTTAGACAAAGCAGAGATGTTAAAGAGCACTTTAAAAAATATGCTTGGTCCAGGGGGCAAATGGATCCAGAAATATAAAAAGGTTGCAAAGCTGGAAGCTGAGATGGAAATTGCCGAAATTTGCTTGCATGCTTCGATTTTTCCTGTTGATGTTCGTGGTGAGATCTTAGAAAAAACCCACAATTCGCTTGCCATGCACTTGGAAACATCAAAAATATCTACAAAAAGCATTCAGAATACAATGGAATCGGTCACCTTGGCTATTCAGGAACGTAGGAAACTTCTGCAGATTATCGAAGGAGATAGAGAATATGATGTGGGTGAAACTACTGGTTATGTTAACGAATTGGTTGAAATCTTCAGGAACCTAACGTAAGTACGCTATATTTTTGTATAAGACGCGACAGTTTCCTAATCTTCCCTCTTGAATTTTAGCCAGGCAAAGCTGGCATCCGTGACTCTCCAGAAGGACATCCGTCAAAAATCGTATGCCCTGCTGCAGCAGGTAACAGCCATCAATCATATCTCGTCGGAAATCATTATGGGAGTAGCATCAATTGAGAACTTCCTGCAAACTTCCAACGACAACGGTTTGAAACAAAATTTTACAGGATTCGTCTGGCAGCATTTTAAAATCAATGTTCCGGCAGTTGCAAATCTTGCGCTGCCGCACTTGACCGACCTTCTGACGCTGGCCATCTTCCACAAACAGGACGTCATGTTGGAGATGCTCGCCCATCTCCCGTTACAAAACACGTACAATGTTCTGGCACTGGATAAGTTTGTAGAACACGCGGAGCAGCTCACCCCTAATGTCCCATCAAACGTATATTCTTTGTCTAACTTGCTCGGCGAAAGTCCCCTGAAACCAATTCTGACCCATCTGATGAGAACCTTCTACTACACAAAAGTACCGTACGAGAAGATTTCCAAGTCAATTGATCCAGAGATTGTTCTAATATGCGTTACTGATAAGTTGGTCATTGGAGGCGGCTTTCTATCCGGTGGATGGTCATTGAATGCGCAAAATACGTTGGAAAAACTATCAGAAGCCGTATCGCTGCAAGTCGACATTCTCAAACTCGAGCTTGAACTCCGGGAGCATACCGAAACCATCCCAAATCTGGAACGACTCAAGGATGACACATGGAACAAACTCGAACAGTTCCATGAAGACACATTCGATCGGTGAGTATACATTCTACATTGGCATGCTAGTAAAAAAATACCTCCCCGACAGGGAATCGAACCCTGGTCTCCCGCGTGACAGGCGGGGATACTGACCACTATACTATCGAGGATTGATAGTGTGAGTGAGTCGCGTGATCGAGCGGCACGATGAATGCGTTTTTGTATCGAATTCATCTGGTAATGAACTGTTAAAATGAACAAAAGCTGCTATTTTTAGTGTGTTATGTGTGATTCCTCGATAGTATAGTGGTCAGTATCCCCGCCTGTCACGCGGGAGACCAGGGTTCGATTCCCTGTCGGGGAGGTAAATATTTTGCTTACTCGCACTGCGGGAAAAGGAACAGTATAAGGGGAAGGTGCGCTGCTGTCAGTTGATGGGTCGAGGTGCTCTGCTCGCTCAGTATTCGCATGGAATTGTCCCTCGAGTTTATTTCAGATCCCTATATGGAATTTTTCTCAGCATTCCTTTCGAATACTTTTGGAATTATCCACAGCATTCCCATTGAGTGCTCTTGATATTCTAGTAAGATCTACCTTAGAATTTTCTATAGAACAAACTTCTAGCGCTTAGAATAATATAAGGCCTAACTGCGATGATGATTTCTCTTTGCATTACTACAGTACAAGTACATGTAATGTAGCAAAATATTGTATTAGCAAGCAAAAGCAAAATCAAACGCACCGAGAAATTTTAATCCACCCGAGTTATTAGCAAAAGATTAAGAAAATCTATCATTGTAGTTAGGTCCTTATGATTATGAACGCTAGACTTGTAGTTCACTATTTTGGAACTCCCTTGGAGATTTCTTCAGAATACTCAACTCTGAATTCTAAGATTCGCCTATAATTCTTCACATAATTCCCCTTCAATGTTCCTTAGCAAGTGCATCTTGCTTGGAACTCCCGTGGATTTTTTTTTCCTTAGAATTCTCTTCGAAATAATTTTGGAATTCTCCGTAGAACTGCCTTGTAATAAAGCCCTTAGAATGAATTTCGATCGTCTCCTAGCAAGTTCATTAGAACTCTCTTTAGGTTTAACCAGGAATCAGAAGCTACTCAGTACTACAAAACTGTTTCCTCTGAAATCCTTATTTTTTCAAGAGCTTCTCCTCATAACTACATTTGTATAATCCTCAGAATTCATCCAGATTCATCGCTAAGATTGCCTTTAAAACCGTCTAACAAGTTCGTTTTATAAAACCACTATTGAAGGTTCTTTCTCCAAGCCATGCTTCGAACAGTTTCCAATAATGTTGATGTTTGTTTTCTTCAAATCAGGGATCATGCATTTTTAACTAAATCCTTCGTCTGGTCTGGATCGTCGTTTCAGAATGTAGAAAAAAATCGAACTTTGGTTTATTATTATTTTTCAAAGTCTTTAATACGTTAGTTCTCTAATTCCAAGCTGCATTTTTTCTCTGCTCAAACATCAGCAGAATGGCCTATTTAGATCAATACCGTTCACAAGCTTAGCACAGTTTGAAATTTCATAGACTTTGGCTAAGGTTGCGTGATCAAAAAACTATAAAACTCGATTTGGAAATCTGCTGCGATGTATGAGAATGTGTAATGTTTTTTTTTTTCAAAATCTTGAAATTTATTGTAAGAGAAAATTTAGTGCACAGATGATCCCCTTGGCTAGTTTTTGCACCTTGTTGGTGGTTAATTTCATGCTTTTTAGTGGAGTGTTGGAGACGGTAGGTTTATGGCCGGCGTTGCTGGCTCATGCCCTATGGCGCCATGGGCAGGCGATGGGGATTACTAAGCTTCCCCTCTCTGATAAACCACTGCATGAGAGAACCAAGGATCTAGTCTAGCAGTGATAGTATCACACTTGTTACTCCTTTGATTGAGAGCCGCGTCGTAGTACGCTTACGTATAGGCACTGACGTCACTCTTATTTATTTTATTTTTTACGCAGATAGATTAATTTGGGTTTGCAAGGGAATTATACTATTGAAATATTTCAGAAAGTGCCCAACAGTGCTCATTCTTTCATTGTTGTTTTCATTTAGGTATTACTCAGGGAACAATATTAAACACCATTTTCGTACATGGTATTGTAACTAATCTTATATGTGCTTCATTTTGATTTGAGATAAGTGTTTGAACTATGACTCGGGATTTCCACTGTGGTGTGCTTCTATTGTGACATACCCATATGTATTTTTGTGGTACTACATAGTGGAAACGTGATAGCGTAATTGGAACATTTACCCTATACAATACACAATTTAAAATTAGCTGGGAAACTAACTTCAAAGTGAAGCATTTTAGTCACTTGAAGGTGTCACCTGGGACGAACAAAGATATCATTAATATATGTCAAAGCCAGAAGTACTTGAAACATCTTAAATTTTAGTTTAAAAGCAGGGGTTATGATTGTGTAGGTAGATTAGAGATTTCAGTTATTTATTAAATAAGACTAAATAATCATCAAATGAACTCCAATTAGAGAATTCAGAAAGTTAATTAACATAAGATATAGGACGCGGGGGGTCCGCTTAGGGAGGCAACTAGTCTTTAAAGTTGTATAATAAATCTTTCTATTTAGTATATTTGTTAATTACAGGCAATATCAATAGCAGTAATATGTTCAATCAGGCGTTTACGAATAAGTGAAGTTTTAGGAAAGGTGTGTTAAATATGTTGATAGGTTTGAAATAAGAATTTAAATTGTTCTGCTTTAGTTTTCGGTAAGGTATGATGTGTCAACTAAACCCTTTTGAGCAAATTTTCAAAAATCAAATTGATGGAGTGATTTATTGAAAGACATTGCGTTGCGTTAGAACATTCATCAGGGTTAGAAAACAGTATTCTTCTCTAACGAAAATTGACAAGTCATACCTACATCTAACATAGTAGTAGTAGCAGTGTCGCATAATCAAATCACAATTTCTGCCAATAGTGGCAGGTACGGTGCCATATCTGCCACTCAGGCCATCTGATTCGGGGACCACCGATCACCATCCAGGACCATCCAATTCCGCTTAAGAAAACAGTACGTGTTCTGGGGGTAGTTTTGGATCGGACTCTAAGTTTCGACCAGCACTTCAGATCGGTGAAAGAAAACTGTCGTAGCCGCATCAACATCGTCAGGACAATCTCCCGCCCGCAACGCTCCAGTAACCGCGAGATCAGCCTTCGTGTCGCCCGGGCTGTTATCGACAGTCGACTTTTCTACGGCATTGAAATTACCTGCTTAGCCACCGAGAAGCTGAACCGCATCCTCGCTCCGGTATACAATACCTACGTACGCATCGTATCCGGCCTTCTACCTTCCACGCCTGCAGACGCTGCTTGTGCGGAAATCGGAGTCCTTCCTTTCCGCTATCGATCTGCTGCAGCTACTGCTACGAAAGCCGCTGCCCTCGCTGCTAAGACATCCGGGAATGATAGGGTCTTTCTGCTCAACGAGAGGAACAGAGCCCTCCGCACTGCAGCCAACCTTGACCTCCCCCCGGTGGCCAGGGTCCACTGGCATGGAGAGAAAATTTGGCGATCTAACGTTATCAAAATAGATAAGCGGATTAAGAGAGGATTCCAAGCCGGAGATAACTCTGTAGCGTTGAGGCGTTCAGTTGCAGAACTTCTTGGGTCGGTCTATCCGGGGCACGTTCATCGCTTTACGGACGGATCGCGATCACGGGCTGGAGTGGGACTCGGAGTGGCAGAACCAAACTCCGCAACAAGTCAAAGTCTACCGGAGGAGTGTTCCGTTTTTTCCGCAGAAGCCGCTGCTATTCTTGATGCAGCCATCAATCCTGCAGATCAACCGATCCTTGTGGTAAAGGACTCACACAGCGTCATCCAGGCGCTGGAAGCCGAAGCCCCGAGCCACCCCTGGATACAAGCCATTACACGATATGCCCCACCCTCAACCGTTTTTACGTGGATTCCCGGGCACTGCGGTGTTCATGGAAATGAGGCTGCGGACAGGCTGGTGGGATCCGGTCCATCTGGTCTCCGCTTCACCAGGAACGTACCACTCCTAGACGTCAAGCGTTGGATCGCGAATATTCACCCCTATTCTGTATTTCGTTTCGAACGAAATTCTCGTACAAAAAAATATTTTTTTGTATGAGAATTTCGTTCGAAACGAAATACAGAATAGGGGTGATTATCATGGAGTAGGAATGGTTTCAGTTGCGGACCACTTTCCTGAGAAAGATCAAAGAAACCGTACGACCCTGGCTAGACAGTCACAAGTACAAGGATCAACGGATCATTTCAAGACTCCGGACCGGCCATGCGAGGATTTCCCACAATTTTGGTGGGACACCCTTTCAAAAGGTTTGTCCAATCTGCAGCATCCCTGCCTCGGTGGAACACGTGCTGTGTGTCTGCCCAGAGTTTCAGAGGCTACGCGAACAACACCGACTCCCAGAGAACATCAGGGAGCTACTTGGCAACGACCCCTCGACGCTGGCTGCGCTTATTGCTTTCTTGAAGGACGCCCACCTGTACAACCAAATCTAGCATTCTCGTCGTTGGCTGCGCTGTCCGTGTTCTTCCACCTTCCTATTTTCCTGCCGTCGGGGTATCTCTGCCGGACTGGGGCACTGTCTCTTACGGTGGAGCTCTACCTTGTTCGCGCATCCATTCCTCACCACAGTCCCGATGTAACTCCCATTTTACATTCAGTTTTTTTTTTAAATGTTGTCTCAGAGCCAGTTTTACGTTACGATAATGTTAGAGTGAAACGTTTCCTTAGAGGCAGGCCCTAAGCCTGACCTTCTACTATCAAATGTGATGAACTAGCCTACGGCTAAAAATCACAAAAATAAAGAAAAAAAAACAATAGTGGCAGGGCTGAATACGGATCAAAACTAACATAACTCTTAACACTAAAATGATCCCGGAACTAACACTCATCCATTGCACTTTTAGTTATATATTAGTTTTATTTTCCAACTAATTTATCTATGCTTATTTCTATTGTTTGGATCAAGTACAACTAATACCAATCTACCTTTATGTATGCCTTAATCCCTTTT